ATAACAATGTGTCCTAATACCCCCCCCCCAAACCGATCCCTTTATATACCTATCTATATAAATTAAGACCCTTCTTTAGTACTTCACAATTTAAGAACCAACTATCGATTAGAAATAGGGAAAAAATAGAATACCAGTAAAGAGTGTAAAAATAGGTGAACACATGGTAGGCCTAATATTTGGACTCGAAATGGAGCAATCGGCTATTCGAATATTCAGCTATTCTGATACCAGAAGGGTGACAAACTTACTATTGGATTAAACGGGATCCACTGTGCATTTATTAATGTTTAAACAATATGCTTTTGAAAAGCAGCAATTTTCAAGATTATAATAACCTTGTCCTCCCTGTTGCATTCTGATGGGAAATGTGTAGTATTTGCTTCAGTAATTGAAGTGAGCGAGTTTTAATATTTATCCTACAAAAATGACAAATATATTTTATAAGCTATCCAATACTGTCTAAACCCGCCCGCAATTTCTGTTAAAAAGAGGGTTGAGCCAAACGTCCCATTCAACCTCTCATATAAAACTTCAATTAAAGGAACCGTATATTTTAGATTTATATTGCATCTTGTCAACCGGGCAATTTAACTCAGTTAAAACACAAACAAGAATTGTAAGAATGTTGACCAAAAAATATTGTTCAAAGAGAGTAGTTTCCTCTCAGAAATGATGGTAATAGTAATTTATATCAAGTTTATGTCCTTAACATTAAACCTTGAAATGTATATTTGGTAATTAAGGAAAATCCTAACTTATACGAATCTGGTTTAAATTATTTTATACATGCCTTTTTTATGTTTACTTGAGATTGTTGAGCATATGGAATTTGGTATATCGTTATATTCATGCGAAAATTAATAATTGCCATCTGCAAGTTTGATTAACTCAAGCTAGGTCATTGTATGCTGACACACAGATTGATACACCCAATTCTTAGTTGCCTTAACACTAAAAAGGAATTGTTTTTATTTTTATACAAATTTACTTTAGATGTATAATTCATTTCAAGACAGCATGATTCTTTGTATATTTTTATTTTTAAAATTTTGCCAATAATTTTGGTAAACTTGATATTACTAAAATTGGGGTATATCTGTCCCAAAGACTGCTTTGTAAAACTTATTTTGATCAATCATGATAAAACATGTGCCTTATCAATTAAGTTACCATAGATATTATCCTATCCAATACAAAATGGCATAATAAAATCATTTGAGAGTTATTATGATTATAAAAAATTAAGGGATTTTGTGATGCAGACTCAAAATCAATTGTTGATTTTGTGTTTTGGTGCAAAACTACAATATAAAATACTCTACATTAAATTTTGGCAATTGAATTTTGAAGGTTATGTACTCTGAAACAGGCTGTAATGTATGACAATAAGCAAGCACATATGTTTTTTATGGCTTTTTAGTTGGTTTATGTTACTTGAGAACTTCCTTAAACAATGCTTCTTATACAATCAGTCACACATGCAAAATACCGGTAGTTCAGATAAGTTGGTGGGCAATGGACATACCTATCTGTAAATGAAAATGGATTGGTCAATGTACAACAATTTTGAATGATGAAATTAGTTAAATATCTGAGAATATAGAGTCTGGAGTATGCTGTAGGTCTGTGACATTGAATACATTAAAGATATGTTACTGTTAAATACTCAATTTATTTTGACATAACTCTCAATTATTACCATTAGGCTTAGCATGTAAGGGTGGAATCTGTCCTAATTTATGACCTTAAATTTTGGTAAGAATTATTTCCCTTCATTTGAATTAAAAGAATTAATTTAAAATATTTTATTTTTTTATATTTATTTATTTATTTTCTAATTTATTTATTTATTTATTTTCTAATTGCCATTCTATTTCTACTGTTTTCATACATCTTTCCACCCCAGTATTTAATTATAATATTCTTTTATTCTAATTTTTATTTGTTTAAAGATCACTTTCCCCCAATGCAATCTTTGTTAATTAAGTACTGCTAAGTTACTCAATTTTGTTTCTCCTGGGCAATGCTTGCTTGACTATAAAATGCTTTAATATGTCAGAGTATTACGACATTTAAGGGTAGAGAATTTAGTTCTATTAGAGATTGAAATTATTAATATTTTTATTTAAATGCTTATTTCCAAGCTTTAATTTGCATTCCAGTCAATCCTATCAAGTTATCGAAAACTCAATCTGAGCAGAATGATTTATTTTCTTATCAATTTGTGAAGTTTAATTTCATTTTTAAAGGACCAGTATGAATCTCGAGACATCCTGAGATAAAAGTAACAGCTTCTTACCCTTGTGCGACTCTTACGCCTTGTACTAATGTAATTTGCTCCTTGTTTGTGGCTGAACCCAGCATATCTATTCTAAGGCATATGAATGATTGATTATTGCTGCTTTATGCTACGGTTGATGAAGCCAAATTCTACATCCTCATGGCCCCCCCCGCCAGAAAGAAAAAATTAAGAGAAAAATCAGCTCATATAAAACTATGACCTTTTATTTTTCGGTAAAATATTATCTGTGTATGCCTTTATGCATTTTCTTAAAATGTTCCCATAGACCAGGAAATAAATGAAACAATACCAAACTGCAAATGACTCATAACAATGATATTAACCAACATCCTTTCGGTACTTTCAGTACTTTGATTACTGCAGAAGTGAAAGTGACGCAATTCTCGTGAATGTTCAATAGTCAAGGCCATTTAAAGACTATTAAATTTTGGCAAAATGTGCAAGTACTAAGTACCTTCTTCAGGCTTCATAACATTGGAAAACAAAGCTTAAAACGGATTAGTATGCCTGACTTAATATTTCTGCGCTTGACCCCCCCCCACCCCCCCAACCCATAAGCGAATCGGGAATTGTTACTCCTAAAAAATAATTACTTAAGTTAAACCATCCACTTCCATTTGTTTCATATTGCTGTTATCTATCATTCAAATTATACCATATAGTGTAAATTCAACCAATTAGCCGACGTTTGATCTTAACAAAAAATCTCGGGCAAAATCCAAAGTAAAATTACACCATCGGCACGTCTAATTGGGCTAGAAATCACAAACCATGATAGTTACTCATGAAATTAAACTTATTTCATTACGAAAATTAAAATATTGCAACAATTCAACTTCACAAAATTTTCCATGACCTTACCGTTTTATCGATTAATCAAGAAAGGAAGAGGAGGAAACAACTAAGTATTATTAGACTAGTATATGTAAATGGACCTAAATTTTCCGGATTGATAGGTTGGGACTAAAGGTACATATAATTATATATCTGTAAGAGCTTAAGATATCCGGAATGGAAGGACATAGGGTTACTGAAATAAACTCACCTATCCGAGACCAGGCTCGTATAAGTGGTAATATAGAGATGAACATTTTGTAAGTGCAATTCCTCATAAACCGCTGCACAGATTTTCGTCAAACTTTGGGGATATTTAGGACACAGCGTGTATATGTGCATATTACCAGAAAATTCCGATTCCTTTATTTTTCTGGGAATTTTGGCACTTTTTAAATTAGATTTTTGGGGATATCTTGAATATAGCGGTGAACAGTTTGTCAGCGCATCTCCTCATAAACCGCTGCACAGAATTTCATCAAACTTTGCAGATATTTAGGACACAATTTGTAGATGTGCATATCACCAGGAAATTCCGATTCTTTCATTTTTTCCGGGATTTTCAGCACTTTGAGTTTTTGGGGAGCGTGGGGTATGTGAGCTTGCTCACTTTTTCTTTCATTTCAAGAAAAAGCTCTTGTTATCAAAATATATATCATCCAAGTGTTGACATTTACCATTTTAACTTACTTATAAAATCTGGTTTAAAATAAATTACAAGATAATGATACTTGTATTTCTAAACTGAAGAAACTAAACTACTTGTATAAATAAAATTTAGTTTTCAGTATTTGGGAGAATTCACTTGTCATTTCATACGGAATCACATGGATTTGCAATATTAAATGTCTTATAACAGTTAAAAAATTAATTCCCATGTTAATTGAAACCTGATCTGTCAATGCTTTTTTTTCCCAGGTCAAGTTATTCCTAATCATGCAGAAATCTGTATTTATTTACTGAAATTGCTAATCAAGCTGCTTAATGTATTTAAAATTTTTATCTGTACAATGCACCTTTACTTACATTATTATAAAATTAAATTCTACATTTTATGACTAGTCTAATGACTATTTTACACAAATGGTTACTGATTCAATTTTTTGGCCGATGATCAGTTGGTTAGACTCAACCGATGCTGCCAATTAATCAATTCTGATTTTCAACCGATTTGACAACACTACTATACACAAAATTACACATCACCTTATTGTACAAATATCTTATCAGTTGTGATCATAAACAAAGATGAAAAAGGCTGAATCAAAACAAAAAAGCTTTTCAGCATCAAATTAGTTATACATGTATATGTAAGTATAACATCTAATGGAAATTATAGAAAGTTATAATGTAAAATATATTATGAAAAACTTGCATAGTTATTGTAGTTATATGCATGTCTAAGAGGAAATTAATGCAGGTACAGTGTATGTTCTTATAAGAGAAAAGACCAGAAGTGGGAAGTATTACACACAGAATTTTAGTTTGCATGTTAGACTTTAGATAATAAATATGATTATTCAGTGGCTTGCAAAAAAAATTAAGAAATTTTGTTGTTGGAACTTGCAGATTTGCATTATGGAACTGCTAGGTGGCAGACTTGCATATAATTATAAGTTTGTTGATATGTTGACAGTGCGACTGTATGCAAAGTTAGAATTTTCTCTTGATCACAGTACAGGCATTACTTTAAAAGCTTGCAGTGACAAGCAGTGCTATGTGCTGCTCGCTGCGCTCATTATGAATAGAACTTGAAAATAATATAAGTATAGCTAATATTAACTACATGTAAAAATAAGTAATTATGATAGAGTTTTGTTGCAGTCCTGCTTGAACAGTTCTTCATTAATTCATTATGTAGATCACTGTCCAATTTTCAATACTGTTGCCGTTAAGATTGACCTCATTCCCTGTGACCTTCAGTATGGAGCATGCTCAGACACAGATTACAGATCTAATAAAGTCTATCTATGTAAGTACAAATTCTCAGATAAAAACAGCAAGTCTTAAAATATGCAGTATTATTAATTTATGACATGAATTGATTCTTCGATCCATATAATTTTGTTCATGATTTGTAAAAGCTAGGAACCATATGTACATTAATGTATCTTTATGTAAAATACCTGAATTAGTACTACATTCAATTTGTTGTCTTGAATATTCATCCTCAGGTCCTTTGATTAAACTAAATTGAAAACATTAAATATAGATAAAAACATTGAATTATTTTTTAAGTACGTAATATAGAGTTTTCACTATTAGTGCATTTCCATTTGTGCATGTGTAATCTGAACCAAACCAAATTTTGAACCTTACAAATGCCAACTCTTTTCAAGAGCTGCCTTTTGAATTTAATTATTTCTAGCTTATCACACAAATCATACAAAACAGGCTACATCAATTGTAAGTATATTTTAATATGGATTTTTTTTTTGGATAAAGTTGATACAATTGAATTTAAATTTTGCTCTTGTGGCTTTTTTCTAAAAAATTGTATGAATTAATTCTTTAGAAAGGAAATATTAGTTACACTTATTTTTTGAGAACAACTAAGCCATTATGGTCCTCTTTGTACATCATGTACATGTATCTGGAAACATGACCACTCAGGTAGTTTTCAACATGTTCAAGTTTGTTCAAATCATAATGGTTGGGTTTTTCCACAATAAGTGATCTAAGTTATGTAAAAAAAAAAAAAAAAAGAGTTCATTGAAAAAATACTTGAAAAATATTCTTTTTGAGAACAGCATAGAAATAAAAAGTCCTATTTATATGGAAACCTGATTAGCCTCTATATTTAGTTTAGATTCAAAGCAGTTCTAATGATGTCAATTAGAGCAGACCAATGCCACAAGAGAAAATCAAATGTATTATAAGAAATCTTGAAAAAAAATCTTCTACATGTTCTAAAGCCACAATATGGAAGCATTAATTTTAAAGTTATTGTAGCTTCATTTTTTTCTAATCATTTACCCCTGGCCCAGAAGAGGGGTGCATAGCAATAATTATCATCGTATATACTCGCCTATAAGTCGGTCCGCCTATAAGTCGGTTGTATTTAATAATCTTATATATCAGAGGGACTGACCTCATATAATACCATTCTTTTTATAGCTCACCTGTATGTCGGACAAAGAGTTTTGGACCTGAGATTAACTCCCCAAAAACCGACTTATAGACGAGTATATACGGTATAGTTATGTGGCCCATATGCATGAGCCTTGGTTTTCTGTTTCTCTCATCCTTGAACTATTGAGTGGAGTAGATTCAAACTTAAATACTTGTGTTTTACTTATTGTGAATTTCTGTCAGGTATGTTATTGATGTTTCAACTCAAAGTTTGAGTGTACTGGGCAATACTACAGTGAATGGTTATGTCAAATAGGATTCACTTGAAACTTCTTATCTGCAATCAGAATAGCTAACTTCAATACATTGTCTAACATTTACTTTTAAAGATCAAACATAATCATTGACTTGATTAAATCTTGCAAAGTAAAATTTTCAAATATTATTTTGAATTGAAAAACTGTTCCAGAATATTCTGCTTTTGTTCTTTTTTTTTAAATATTTTTTATAAGCTCACCTGAGCCTTTGTTCAAATCATGACCCCCAGGGGTAGAGAAGGGCCGCATTGTGTGATCAAAGATTTATGTAGGAGTACATATTGGGAAATATCGTTAAAATTCTTCACAAGAACAACACATTAGGCCTTGGGCCTTTCGTTTAATCAGGTGGCATATATGTGTTTACTTATAGAATTTTTTTTCCCATTTTTTAACAGATCCTGGGTGTCTAAACAAAACTCTTATAATGTAAGTATTTTTGACAAGTAGTAATTTTCATTATCTTTTTTTTAAACATATTAAAAAAAGAATGCGCATTTCATATAGATTTTGGGCATCATGATCATAAGAGTTTCTCATATGACTATATAATTGACACTTAAATGTTTCAAATATTTTATGTGTTTTTGTTGTGCGTATTTTTTTAAAATTGTATCTTGACAAGCATAAGGCCAATCAAGTCAAAGATCAGGAATGTTATCTGTTTTGAAAAAACAAGTTGTGTTTTTGAAACACTGATGCCCCCATATCACTGCTTATAGCAAGGGTTGAAGTTTTTGATTTGCAAACCAAACTCAAGGTCAAGGCAAAAATTCAAAATTGTTGGTATCCAAAGAAAAGTCCTGTGACAAAGAATACATCTGTGAAGTATGAAAGCACTTGTACTAACTATTCAAAAGTTAGTGCCAAGGTTAAGGTTCTTTTACAAAGCTGCTCAAACTGTTCCGTCAAGATCAGAAGTTAAAAATATTTCAACTAATTCAGTAATTGAAAGTTCTTGTCACAATTAATACACAAATGAAGTATCAATAAAGCCCTACACCAACATCAAGGTTAAGAGATAAACTTTTTTGGGAAAGAAAGGTCTTGTCACAAGAAATACACCTGTGAAATATTAAGCCATAGCCCCACCCAGTCAAAAGTATTGGGCAAGGTTGAAGGTTTTGCAGATAAACAGACAGATGGAAGGACAGGGTAAAAACTATATACACTTGAATCTTCGATCACGGGGACATCAAAAAGTTTAGTTTTAACATATGATCCCTTAGGGCTTGAAGGGGCTATTGTTAAGGAATAAAAAAAATAAGACATGGATATACAGGGTAAAATCTAGCTATCACAAAAGTTCATCTAAAGAACAACAGAGTATACCGGTAATCAAATACAAGTAGTTAAGTCTAATGTGTCATTTATATGCATATTTATTCTAATCATGGTATTAGAGCAAGGGTTTATACACATCAAATGTTTACAGTTGACATTTTGTAAGTTTGAATTGCTGAAATCCATTTGATGAGTGCAAAAATGTGTTTTGCTTATTGATAATTACATAATCATCAACTAATAAGTAATAAGAATATGTGGACACTTTTAAACATTTCAAATATGGACCTCTAGTTTAAACAAAGATGAACCAATTTGTGAGCTTTTCTGATAATAGATTCCACCATCAATCTGTGTATCTGCTTATTCTTGATTTGGGATCCGGGTTAGAATAGGTCCTCAGTACCCCTTGCTTGTCGTAAAAGGCGACTAAATGGGGCGGTCCTTTGGATGAGACCGTATAAACCGAGGCCCCGTGTCACAGCAGGTGTGGCACGATAAAGATCCCTCCCTGCTCAAAGGCCCAGAGTGCCGAGCATAGGCCTAAATTTGCAGCCCTTCACCGGCAATGATGACGTCTCCATATCAGTGAAATATTCTGGAGAGGGACGTTAAACAGTATACAATCAATCAATATTCTTGATTTGTTCAGATTATAGCACCTTACTTTTATTGAGCCAAATTTTAAAATATTAGTAAACAAGAAAAAAGTACACCATAATCCATAAATCATATTGACATGCATGTGTTTGTTTAATTGTATAGTAAAGACAAGTTAATGTTAAAAATGGTACATATACCAGGGGCCTTGACTACAATAGGTGATAAAATGTATATAATCAGAAATATATAACCTTTGAAACTGCAACAAAACAACATTTTTTAAGCTTAAATTCAAGTTTTTATTTTCTTAAATAAACTACGTAGAATCATGAAATTTAATTACTAGATGGCTACAAAATAGCATGATCTGTATTAAATTATTATTATTTGAGTGAAAGGTAGATAACACATGTGAGCAATTAGCCATTGGGCCTCTAAGTGTCTTGTTTTCATATTGCAAGAAATCGAGAATATTTGAACATCTGTAGTTATTTGTGACTTAATAACATGTAAGAATGGTCTTATTTTCCAGTGGAAAAACCAGCACAGATAGGACTGACAGTGAATCTACAGTACGGTCTCCAGTCAAACTGCACATTATAATTCCAGCTGTTGCCATACCTCTTTTACTGTTTATTATTATTGGAGTTGCTTTTTATTGCTGGAGAACAAAAGGTTGGTTTTTAGTTTTTTCAGTTAAAAACAAAAATAGAACAATGATTAATATTTACATGCATTATATGTTTCTTAGATGAACCTATTGAAGAGAAAATATGTTCAGTTCTGTGAGAAATTTATTTGGGAGGTCATAGCGCGACCGAATCGCTCTGCGAGGTGATAACTTGTTGCATATATTTCTGTCTTTTGTGGAAAATACCAGGTTAAAAGCAATGAAAAAGGTAAAATAACTGACACATATAGATATTTTCATTCAACCGATGTTCAATAGATCTTCCTTTGGTGTGAAGAATGTTTCAAATACTATAAGTACAGCCTAAAACCTTTTTAACCAGAAATTCCTTTGAAGTTATGTTAACTAAAACAGGGGAGGTCACAGCTTTTGACTTCAAATATATTAAAAACTCATAAGGCCCAAAAAATAAATCAATAGTTTCTCAGGCACCGCCGCATCACTTTAAAAACGGCTGCACTGATCAATTTTACTGACATATTGAAAAGGGAAATAACTCAATTTTCTATTTTCCAAGTTGAAAAAGAAAATTGAGTTATTGCCCTTTTCAGAAATGCTAAGGTAGACGTCTTTATTAGAAAAACAATATATTTCTTCTAAATTTACAATATTTTATTAATTAACTCTTAAATAAATGTTTAGAATAACATTATTTAAAGATAAAAACAAATTATAACTAACTTCAGAGAACAAAAATTAAGAATTAGTAGACATTATCATTTTAATGAACAAATGGCTAAAAAAAGGTGTAAAACCTGCTTCAAAAAAAAAAAAAAAAAAAAAAAAATGCCTGCCCGCACCATTGAATTTTAAATTTTTTGGCCTGAGAAACTATTAATTACTTTTTTTGGCCTAAAATAGTAAGATTATTCAAGTGGGGATCATTGTTCTTACATTATAAACATAGAATTCCTGAACTGGACTGCTGAACATCATTGTAAATATTCAAATGTTGAAGCGACACAAATTTTCAAACCAAACAACTTCTAGGCCCCCTAGGTCATTGCGCGTCACAACATAGCAATATGGTGGCCCATTCGTGTACTAAATGCAGTTTTATTCAGAATTTATTCATCTCAAATGTAAATATAAGAAATAAACAACAATGTTAAAAAATTCACTGGGAGATGAACTTTTAGTTGGTCACATGATCAAATCTACTGAGAAGCCCTTCGGGCTTTACAGGATTTGATCAAATAACCAACTAAAAGTTCATTTCCCATAGAACTTTTTAGCATTGACTGTTGTTTATTTCTTAAAAAAATAATCTTTTTAAATTTAGAATAATATTAATAATGCTTCAAACAGATTTTGTTTGATTCAATTTAAATCAATCATTTATAAGCAATAACTAAATAAACTTGAATGATTTATCTACTATCATTCCAATACATGTAACAGCATGTCACTGCTCGATCAACCGTAGAAAAAATTTATTGATTCTTTACCATATCAGTCATCGATTCTTTGGATGTTTGATTTGAAAGAAATTTATGATACTTAACATATGAAATATGTACAGAAACCAACAAGACCCCAATAACACTAGCCAGTCATACTAAATGATTGTTTACCAGTGAGGCATTGAAGTTTGTAGTCACCAGCAAATCGGCAGCAATGCTTGGCTGTTTTCTGTCCTCAAAAAGCATGTATCATATTTGTTGTGATTTGACTGAATGGAGTTAATTTTAATACTTTTGTGAAAATTTCAAGCATGATATAGGTAAAGCTATACTCTGAAACTATTATACTATATAGCAATCAATATTATCATTAGAAGGATTATAATTTGCGTTGGCTGTCCAGATGTGATTATTATACCTCCAATCTGAAGGAGAGTGGGTATACTGTTTTACCCTTGAGTGTTTGTCCGTCTTTCTGTCTGTCAGTGTGTCTGTCCATAAAAACATTTGGTCACAGTATTCTCAGCAACTACTCATCGCAGATGCTTGAAATTTTAGCACATTCTTTGCTGAGGCATGCCATAATGGTGGGATTTATTTTTGGATAAATCCTATGTCAACTTCCTGTGTATCTGTGCGTCTGTCCATCCATACATATCAAATTTTTATATCCCATGAATCAAGTTGCCGGAGGTATAAGGTTTTTGACCTGCCCGTCAGTCAGTCAGTGTGTCAATCAGTCTGTCAGTCTTGTTTTGTTTTTTTTTTGTCAGCGCAACCTCTCATAAACTGCTGCACAGAATTTAGTCAAACTTGGCAAACTTAGGACACAATTCATAGATTTGCATATTACCAGGAAATTCCAATTCCTTTATTTCTTACAGGAATTTCCGCACTTTTACACATATTTTTGGCCATATCTTATAGAGATGAACAGTTTGACAACTCCTCATAAACCGCTGCACAGAATTTAGTCAAATTTTCCAGATATCTAGGACATAATGTGTAAATGTGCATGTTACCTAGAAATTTTGATTCCTTTATTTTTTCCATGAATTTCCGCACTTTTACACTTATATTTTTGGCCATACTTTGAATAAGAGATGAACAGTTTGTCAGCGCAACTTTTCGTAAACCGCTGCACAGAATTTCGTCAGACTTTGCATTTTTTTAGGACACAATGTATAGATGTGCATATTACAAGGAATTTGGGATTTCGTTATTTTCCTGGCAATTTCAGCACTTCGAGTTTTGGAGGATCATGGGGTATGAGAACTTGCTCAGTTTTTCTTTGATTGTCACAGTTTTCTCAGCAACTACTCATCACAGATGCTTGAAAGTTTAGCACATTCTTTTCTGAGGCATGCCATATCTTGGAATTTATTTTTGTATAAATCCAATGTCAACTTCCTGTTTGTCTGTGAATTTGGTCGTAACTGAACTAGTGTATATTATCATGACAGTCAATGTATATGCACATCAGAGCAGGGGTAATACTAGTGAGCATTGGCTCACAGACCTCTTGTTAATGTTAATGTTTAATGGACCATTTCAGTATTAAATATTGAAATATTTTGTTTTTTGTATTTATTTCATAGAATGGATATTTGGTTCCTGTTTATTTTGTATGTTATATGTACATGTATTCTAATTGATACTCTGGCATTTTATTTCTATCTTTAGATGTTGTTGATGCAAGACTTCTCTATATTTATTTTTTTGGTTTTACTATTTATTAGGGGCAAAGCATGATCCAAATGACATTGAATTGCAGCCCCTTCTTCATCATAATACAGTTCCTTGGAGTAAGTTATTTATATCTATATTTATATTTTGTTGTTTTAGCACTAATGATAAATGTTTATTATAAAGTAAATGCCAGTAAGAGTTCAATTTTCAGTAGTAACTATACAATTAAATTAGGGTCAGTTGTGCTAACACATTTTAAGCCTTGCTTGAATATGGCAAGGACATATAGCAGTTGCCATCTTCTGTCCTGTCGTCAGACTTTGTGTTTAGCTCACTTAAAGGTACTTGGACACAGATTTGATGTCAATATTTTCTCTATAATATTACGAGTTATATTTTTAATAGCATTTCACACAAAAATTAATTAGAAATCGTATTTCACTTAAAAGTTATTAAAACTTCAAATTTTTTGGCGGGTTTGATTGAAATTTTAACATTATTCTTAATCCTTAGGAAAAGTGGCAATCTTGTTGTGTATTAATGAGAAATATTAAAACTATTATCCAGAAAAATAATTTTATTCAGAGTAGAAATACTAGAAAGCAAAAGTCCTTCACAAGTATCGTCATTTCAAACTAAGAGTTGCGTACAGAGTTTAGCAAATCGAGCCCACTCGTGTACACAGTACACAAGTGCACAGCTTCTCTCCATTGCTGTTACATTCTCCTAAGCCTTGCTTACCCATGATACATTCTTTACCTTGGTTGCTTTTCCCAACTTTTGCGGAGAGAATACTCAAAATCGGGTATTATCCATGAAATCGCGTATAATACCCGATGTTAGGGTATCGTTGAATCCGCGAAATCGGGTATTGGAGGTGTAATTACCTAATAAAACTTAAACAATGGGATTGCGCATGTTGCCGAGTTAACTTACATCTAGATATACATGTTTTCTAAAGGTATCACTAGCCAAGTAAGAATTTGGGCGTCAAGATTAATGCGCTCATAACAACAAATACCCTCGGAGCACATTTCATGATCTGCACACAAAAAGGCGTTCGATTTGCTTTATATTTTTCATAATGTTGAAAGTATATGCATCTTCCTAATGTTCATTCCCAACACAACAGAATTGTAAAGTATCAGAATTCGGGAATTTATAATAATTCCACATCAACACGACAAACATGAACAATTTATAAATAAATCAAATTATATGGAAACACATTTCACACACAAGATATGATGCCATATATAAATAAGGGATTGTCTATCGTATCTAATTATGCATCATTAATTACTTTCACATTCATCTTGTGCATAAAATCAAATTTATTTGTGAATGTATAAATAATGTAATGATAAAAATGTCTAAAATTTCGGCTAAAAAACCATCTTTCTCTTTTTTAGCTCTTCTGAGCCAAAGGCTCAAAGAGCTAATGCTATGGCCATTTGTGCGGTGTGCGTCGTGCGGTGTGCGTTAACTTTTTAGAAACTGGGCCATAACTCAAAAACGCCTTGGCCAAACAGTGTCAAATTTGTCACAGGGTATCCTTGGCCCAAGGGCTACCATTTATACTAAAATAAGGGTTGGGACCCTTAAACAAGGGGAGATAATCAGGAAAACAAAACCAAAAGTACTTGTTGCTAAAAAATCTTCTTCTCCAGAACCACCAGGCAGATTTTCACCAAACTTACATACAAGGATCAGGATATGTTGAAGATTAAAAATTGTTCAAGGCATGACCCTGGGGCAAAGGGCGTGGTCTCAAGGTCACTTCAAAGTTGACCTAAATTTACAATTGATAAAAACCTTTATATTTTGCTTACTATAAGGAGTAGGATCATCAAATCTTGTAAGTTGATGCATCTTAAGACTTCACATCATGTTAAATCAAAAGTAGGTCACAGTGACCTACTTTTTTAATTTTGCGGGCATTTGTTTTCAAATTGATTTGAAGGCATATTTTGGACACTTTAAGGCCTATGATCATCAAACTTTGTTAGTTGATGCATCTTGGGTCCTTGAACAATGTCAACTTAAAAGTAGGTCAACTTGCCCTACTTTTTGAACTTTATGAATTATCCTTTTTAAAACATTTAATCCCATTATTGCAGACACTGAGAGGGTTAGAATCATCAAATCTTGTAAATTGCTGCATCTTGGGACCTTAAAACATATTTATGAAAAAGTAGGTCACTGTGACCTACTTTTTGAATTTTGCAGGCATATGTTTTTATATTGTTTGAAAGGCATATTTTGATTACCTTCAGACCTACGATCATCAAACTTGGTCAGCAGATGCATCTTGGGACTTTGAAAAATGTTGACTAAAATGTAGGTCACGGTGACCTACTTTTGACATTTTATGGCTTTATTTAAGTATCTTCAATATTTATTGGCTTAGAATCATCAAACTTTGTGAGTTGATGCATCTTGGGTTTTCAAAGAGTGCCGACCAAAAAGTAGGTCACGGTGACCTACTTTTGACATTTTATAGCTTTATTTAAGTATCTTAGGTATTTATAAGCTTAGAATCATCAAACTTTGTGGGTTGATGCATCTTAGGTTTTCGGAGAGTGACGACCAAAAAGTAGGTCATGGTGACCTACTTTTGACATTTTATAGCTTTATTTAAGCATCTTAGGTATTGATAAGCTTAGAATCATCAAACTTTGTGAGTTGATGCATCTTGGGTTTTTGGAGAGTGGCGACCAAAAAGTAGGTCATGGTGACCTACTTTTGACATTTTATAGCTTTATTTATGTATCTTAGGTATTTATAAGCTTAGAATCATAAAAATTTGTGAGTTGATGCATCTTGGGTTTTCGGAGAGTGATGACCAAAAAGTAGGTCACGGTGACCTACTTTTGATATTTTATGGCTATAGATAAGTATCTCCAGTACTTACTGGCTTGGAATAATCAAACTTTGTCAGTGGATGGATTTTGGTTTTTCCAAGAATGTAGATGAAAAAGTAGGTCAAGGTGACTTACTTTTGAATACCTCACATACTTATTGGCTTAGAATCTTCAGTCTTTGTCTATCAATGCATCTTGAGTCCTCAGAAAATTTAAAATAGAAAAAGTAGGTCATTGTGACCTACTTATGGTATTTTATAACTTTACTAAAATATCTTCAGTTATAATTAGCTAAAAATCATCAAACTTTGTCAGTTGATGCAACTTGGCTCTTAGAATACTTAGGGTTAGAGGCTTCAAATAAAAGTGACAGGTTGTACAATTTATCAGAAGAGCGATTCAAGGCCCTTGGGCCTTTTGTTTTTTAAATCTTTTTGTTTTATCATTCATACATATTTGCAGAATATGTCTTCAACATTTTACAGAGACAGTGATAGTTTCAGGAATACAGCTTATGAGAGAACATAACTTTTGATCGTTTAATTTTGCTAAGTCATCAATATTTTACCATTTCTTGGCGACTTCAAGGGGGGGGGGGGGGGCTAAAGGCTTCTTGACCACCTCTGACAAAACAACCTCCACTGTGTTCTACATGTGTCCAAGAGACCTCTCTTTGAATGTCACGGTCGGTTAAACTCTGTTATATATTTTCAATTGTAGGGAAGATTTATTCATCAAATGAAAATCATATGTAGGTAAACAAAAAGCAACCTGTTATTTTCTAACACAATATGAGACTACAAGTAACTAGAATTCATGTTTATTTTTTCTTAACACATTTTTTCATTATAGTTGAGGAAAATTTATTGCCATGAGTAATAAGTATCATAGATAAAATAACTAAAAGAAAACTGTGACATATTGTCTAGAACCAATCAGATACTAATAGTGCGTTGTATTTGCATATTAAAGTATAATGAGGTATAAGATAGCCATATAAAAAAAAATAGAAGGTAAAGAGGTAAAATTTATTCTGTGTATCAAATAGTATAATAAAGAAAGGAAGTGGCTACAATTTTTATCAAATTTTAATGTCCGATGAGGAATTATATTCCCAAACAATAAGACAAAAGTTTCCAAGGCAGTTGAACACTCCATTATTTCAGTTTGTTCATTAACATGTTCATAAACGTAAAAACTATAAGAAATGTGAAAACTTGACTATGTAATTCATATTTCAATATGACTGTGCCTCGATCTATATTGAGAAATTCAATGTATTATAAGAAGCTCATGAAAAGATGTACACATTTGACTGTTATTTATACCCCCCCCCCCCCCCCCAAAAAAAAATAAAGAAAATCCTGTTCATATGACTTCTAGCTCTCAATTTTCACACAAAATGCACAGAATAAAGGTAAAATAGCATATCTTGTATCGATTAAAATGCAACCAAAAAATTTACGATGTGTTTGAATAAAAATGTCCATGCTAAATTGACATAAAAAAAGGTGCTCACCTTCAATTAGCTATTTTCAACCTTTTTTAGCTCACCTGAGCCAAAGGCTCAAGTGAGCTTTTTTGATCACATTTTGTCCGTCGTCCGTGTCTGGATGTCCGTCTAGCTGTCCGTCTGTAAACTTTTCACATTGTTGACTTCTTCTTCAGAACCACTGGGCTAATTATAACCAAACTCGGTACAAAACATCCTTGGGTAAAGGAAAATTTAAATTGTTAAAATGAAGGGCCAAGTCCTCTCACAAGGGGAGATAATTAAGAAATGACAAAAATAGGGTGGGGTCATTAAATAATCCTCTTCTCAAGAACCACTGGGCCAAAAAAGCTGAAACTTATGTGGAAGCATCCTAGGGTAGTGTAGATTCTAAATTTTTGAAATCATGACCCCTGTGGGTAGGGCGGGGCCACAATGGGGAATCAAAGTTTTACATAGAAATATATTGGAAAAATCTTGGAAAATCTTCTTCTCAAGAACCACTGGGCCAGAAAAGCTGAAACTTATGTGGAAGTATCCTGGGGTAGTGTAGATTCTAAATTGTTCAAATCATGACCCCCGGGGGTAGGGCGGGGCCACAATGGGGAATCAAAGTTTTACATAGAAATATATAGGAAAAAATCTTTGAAAATCTTCCTCTCAAGAACCACTGGGCCAGAAAAGCTGAAACTTATGTGGAAGCATCCTAGGGTAGTGTAGATTCTAAATTGTTCAAATCATGACCCCCGGGGGTAGGGCG